TTGCAGTAGAAAACTCAGCCCCTGGGCAGGGCTAGGGCAGCCAACATCCTGGATAATGCATCCAGGAAGGGTTGGCACAACTGAAACTCACTGAAGGCAAACTGGCACCTGATGGCTTCTCATCATTGCTCTCAGAAAGTCCCCAAGACCTGTGCATGGACAAGGAAATCTGGGGAGATGTCTGTTCCCTCCTAACATGTCAGATTTAGAAATGAATCTAGCCTCTCATTTTCATTCCTGGGGTGAGAACCAGCTTGAACTGGATGGGAATAGCCACAGAAGCATGGGCAGTTCTTACCTAAAAGTGAGAGCTGTTTAGACATCTGGGCTGAGACATCCATGCCATTTTTCAGCCAAGTGATTTTGGGCATGGGAATGCCCTCAGCGTGGCATCTCAGGCTGGCAGCCACCCCAGGCTCCTGTGCCTGGGTCTCTGGATAGACGCGGATGACAGGTGGCACTGTGGGTGAAAATCAGCATTGGTAAGAGAAGGTCCTCAGCTGACTCCAGGCCCATGGCCCAACCCTGAGATCCTCCTCCAGGGGGTAAACCTCAGAGGGAACTCTGGAGCTCTCTTCTTTGCCAGCTTACAGTGATCCTCTTTGGCAACCCAAAAGTCTGATAAAAAGGACTATAAAGTGGATTGCAACAGTAAATATGTCCAGCATTGTACCCAGTAAATTCATGGCTTTCAACATTATTCTAAATATGATTAGAAAGACATCCAAATATTTAATGCCATTCAGCTGCTACATGTAAAGAGCAAGAGCCAATGGATTTTATTTCTGAATGAATAAAATTCAAATATATTATTTCTATTATCGGAAAGCTATTGGACAGGGGCTTAATTTCTTGCAGGAAATGCTCCACCCAGCACTTATGGGCACTGACTGGCAGAGCTGCTAATTACATCACTGCTCTGAGGAAATTCATTGATTTTGCCAGAGTGTCATTTTAATTTTATTTCTTCCCTGGAACCTGGGTAAAAGGCCAGGTGTGCCCTCTTTGCCTATGGAGTGATTCAGCCATGGGTTCTGGAAGTCAAGTTTGGGGCTGGGAGTGTGACCTGGCTCACTGGCCAGATGAGCATGAGTGGGCAAGTCTCTGGCACCTTCCATAGTACTCTGGCCTTTTTACACAGGCTGACTGTGGGGTGGGACCTGGGGGAAGCAGAGATTGTCTGGAGGATCCTTCCCCCAACCCTAGCTCTGGACCCAGGAAATCGAATCAGTATCATTTTCAGTAGAATGGAAGACTTATAGTCATCCATACATTTTACTCTACATACTTCTTTAAAAGACTTCCTCTTTCCCTCCTCCCAATTCCTGTTTTTATGCTACCAGAGATTGAACTCAGGATCTATGTAAGCTGGGCAACCACTTTGCCACTGGGCTACATCCCCAGTCCTTTCTTTTAAATTTTACTTTGAGACAGGGTCTTGCCAAGTTGCTTAGGGCCTTGCTAAGTTGCTGAGGCTGGCCTCAAGTTTGTGATCCTTCTGCCTCAGCCTCAGCCTCTGGAGTAGTTGGATTATAGGCACCTGGCACTATATCTGGTTTCAAAAAGGATTTGTGATCTACATAAAATACTTGGATATTAAGCTCAACTAAAATGTATCACCTATGCTTTGGAAAGGAGGGAGGTAGATTCTTCCTGAAGTAGACAACAATATTTTCCTAGAGTTATCTGGAAGCTTTCATTTTCTAATAAGAGAAGGTATCCCAGTACTTGAGGAAAAAGATTCTTCTTGGGACCAGAGTGAAGGCAAAATTGATGCTTATGTAGGAGGAGGTGATGGCTTGATCCTGGAACCTGAGCAAGGTGGCAGAATTCTGATGATCCATGCTCAGGTAGGCAGGGGACAGGAGAGAAGCTCCCTTGTTCCTTGTGAGAAGTGAACTTGGCAACTCCTGTTGAAACTCCTCAGGATCCTGCTATTCATGTGATCAACGCAGTGTGTTTCAAGTCTTTCTTTGGATGACTGGGGCAAAGTTAGGGGGCAGAGGTGAAATCTAAGTGGACAACTGGCAGATCATAAGACCTTACCCTCAAATGGCCTAGAGACGTTTCAATAACATGAACTCACAGGAGATTAGGCCAAACTGCAGGGGCCCGAGAACAATAAAATCTGAGTCCTCTGAACAGCTTTTCTTTGTTAGAGGTTTTAGGGAAGAGGTCCAGGGTGCAACAGAAGGGTTTTGTCCTAGATCAGGCCACTGGGGATGGAGGAGGTAAATGGGGTCTAGCTGAGGCATGGCTGAGGACGGCATAGAACATAGAAGTGTTTGGCCCCATTGGTTCAAAGAGGAAAGAAAGAAACTTCCCCACAGCTTACACCGGGCAGAGGGAGGAACTGGGTTCAAGTTGAGTAGAGAGAATTGTGGTCAGGAGGTGGTAATTCAAGATCTCAGAGGTAGAGTCTAGGAACCCTGAGCTGGCAGGCAGCTGGAGAAGGTGCTAGAGCAACCAGAGTTCTAGAGCAGGGGTGACCCGGATAAGGGCTCTAACAGCCTGGGCTCATGGTAGGTCACCATCTATTTGTACAAGCCTTCCTGGCAACCCTGGTAGAAATCTAAAGAAAGTAGAAGAGTCAATAGAGATAGGAGCAGAAATGAATGAATCAATTAGAAAGCCAAGAAAAAGTAATTGATAAATAAATCTAAGGGCTGACTCTTTGTAAGAGCCAATAAAATAGCCAAAGTTCTGGCAAGTTTGATCAATGAAAAAAAAAATAGAGAAAGAACAGAGGGGATTAAAAGATGTAAGAATACTGCACTCAATTATGGGTAATAAATGTGAAAATCTCAATGAAATGGATTATTTAAAAGGAAACTTTAAAGCATCAACATTGCTTTATGTAGAGATTAAAAAAAATTTTTAAAGTGCTACTAACCCAAAAGGCACTCTGACTAGTTTTAGATCAGATTCCTTTGTATACTTAAGAATTAGATAATTCCTGGAGTATAGAATAGGGAAGACATTCCAAATTCCATCACAAAGCAAGTATAACCTGGACAACCCAAACCTGGCAAAGACCAAACAAACAAAACCCA